CGATCAGCTTCGCCTCCGCCCCGCGCAGAACCCACAAGCGTTCAGCTTCGACGCCAGCCCCCGCGCAGACCCCCGAGCGTCAGGTTCTGCCTCCGTGCCCCAGCGGTAGAACCACCGAGCAGACAGTCATTCGCCTCCGGGCCCTACGGCAACCCTCTGCAGCTTAGCGCCTCCGACCCCGCAAGCCGCCACCTAAGACATCTGCTAACGTTGCCGAACCCCTCGATGTTCCCGGCCTTCCAGAAGCCCTCGCTTGGACCACCCCCTCTGCCATGCGCGCCGCCACAAATCGGTGGTTACCCCCTAAGACGCTTGACTTCTTCTCCAGCCCTCGGATAGCCTTCCAGCGTTCACCTCGCCGTCTGCCCCGTGGTTGCCGGTCACACGCCACCTGAGCGCATCTCGTCTCGCCGTAAACCGGCCCAAGCGGCAGCGGCCCCCCTAGAAACGGCATCGCCTCCATGCCCAATGACCAACCTCCAGAACTTCTGCCACGCCCTCCTTCTCCGGCTCCCCGGCTGCGCCGCCCCTAATAAAACGGCCGACCACCTGAGACCTCATCCCCTGCCGTCTCCAATACGCCCGGCCACCTGAGACATTTGCCCTAGAAAATCCTTCTGGGATTTCTTTTGTTTTCATCCACCCGTAAGTGATCGTGTTTGTTCTGGAACTCTTTTTATTTTTTGCCCTCCTGGACCTTGTTTTCACCCTCCGCCCATCCCTGATGGGTTGTTTTTTGCGGACTCTATTTATCTGTTGTTTCTTTCTGCCCTCCTTGCCCTAGTGCCCCCCGCCCCCCCCTGGTGGATTGTTTTTTGTTTTTCTTTTTTTCTTGGACTTATGCAGAGGGCGCATTGCGGAATCCCCCTTGAGGGGGGCTCTGTATGATCACTCAGCTTCCCACCAAGGGCGCCGAGGATCCACCCTTCTGTTAATGTTTAATTTTTTCTGTTAGGACTGAGTTTTGGGACATCATGAGAGCTGGTACCTGCACCTTCCCCCAGCAGAGTGCACCGTGAGGTCTCCTGGCAGCCGTAGCCTTCCATCACCACCTGAGAACCAATCTACTCAGTCAGAGACTCCCCTTTATAACAGTCTGCCAACTTCTCTTCGACACTGCTGCAGTGATGATCTAGTTGGTTAAGCAAACCCTGAGACCTCAGAAACGTAAGGAATACATAGATTGTCTCAAAAGTGAAGATCAATTCTACATCACTCTACCTGTTGTTTTGCACTTCACAGATATCCTGTCGCTACCATGAACTCATGGTGAGCTGCGTCACAGGAAACTGTCTCTAGCCGAAGCTCTGGGGTAAGCTATAACTCACAGAAACCTGTCGCCATAGCCTGAAGGCTGAGCTGTGAGAGTCGGGTTCCATGCGGCAGGCAGAGCGACGCGTGGTAGTCTGGCTACGGATACCCTATGCGGAGCTTACGTCTGTGTGATATACATACGGTGGTTCCCAGCACATACGTTACTCGACATTGGTGTACAAAAGCTTCTAACCTTATTATACAATTACAACTCAGGCAACGTGCAAGATTCCTATGTGGATTCCCCTCTGCTCTTAGTTAAGAGCTGGAAACTCTGATCAAGGCCTGCCATTCAAAGTCTGAAGCTAGACGCTGCAGCTGTTCGTGTACTCTGCTGAGCCAACAGTCTCTGGACCCAACGGTTCCCTCTCTCTCTAAGAGAAGCCCGGATTCAGTCAAGACTTCAGTGAACCAGCCCGGACCAGTTCCTGACCCAGTACATTATCTTGTGATTGTGAGACATTTAATAAACTCTGTTAAACTTTTACCCAGCCTCTAGTGGTGTTCTGCATATGGGCTTGAATCCTAAATCCATCATGACACCCGTGTATGCGAATGAAATACCAACAGACCGGTAGTAGGTTTAAATCATGGTATTTAAATAGCAATAATATTTTTCTATAAGTATAAACAAAAAAATACAACAGGAAAACAAGAGTAGCCTAATAACAACAAAAATAAACAAATAAACCCTGATAACGCCCAAGAGTTTTTTTTTTTCTCTTATTCAAGTCTGTTTTCTGTCTTTTTTTTTTGTTGTTGTTTGCAGGGTGATTGATGCTCCATCAATCAAACAATAGTCCAACCTTTATTTTTAAGCCCATGATCCAAGGCAGTATGTAAGAAGTAGTTCACTTGAATTCAGTCCTGCCTCAAAGCTGCGGTGATCCAGTAGCTCTCCTTCCTGAGTTGAAACGGGGTGGAAAAACAACCTGATCTACACAAGGTCAGAAATAAAAACAAAAGTAAGCATTTTAACTGCTATCCAAAATATCTCAACATTCATAAATGCAAATCAATTTGTTACAAATCAATTCAATTCGGTTTATTCAAATAGCGCAAGTTCCTTTTATTTTTAGTTTTTTTTTTGGGGGAGGGTTCAGAAGAAAGTTCACATCCCTGCTTAAGAGCGCTACCTGTCAGATCTGTAAATGGTTTTCCATGCTTGCAACAAAATTAGCAGCAGTAGTGCAGTTTGGAGATGCAATCCACTTCTTAAATCTATCTTTGTGTCCTCTAATTTATCCATAAGATCTGCAATTTCACTTTTTCTCTCACTCCCAACTTTATGATCAGCTGCATATTTAGCATGCCTTCCCTGGAAATGCCTCTCAAAATGACTGTTATTTTTTTGACAACCTCTTAAAAAGCGAAAATGCAGGCAATCCTGCATTGATAATGAAAGCAAATTATCCCCTCCATTGTTCTTTGAATCCTCTGTTCTCATCAACTAACTTCCATTTTTCCCTTTGGAATCCATGGTCCGAGACACCCCGTCGCTTTCTTTGTCTGGAGCCGCGTCGCGCTGAAACGTGTGTTTCAGGCTCTTACCACTGATCTCTATGGCTATGACGCAAAGGTGTCCTCCAACAGATACTGTTATGTGTTTAAGTAATGAGCAATACTTAAATAGTTGGAGTGTATCAGATCATATGTATACTTAAAAAAATAGATTTCAAAGTTGGATTAAAAACCTCTGGTCAACTTTCGCTATATAGTAAAATATTAAAATTGTGAAAGTTTCAAACATAACAGGAATTAAGAAAAGCAACATGAAGGACTAAAAAAAAATTCCACATAAATTATCACTTCGTCTTATTTCATCTAAAGTTCGATCAGCAACTTCCTGTGAATTTTAGTAAATGAGGTCAAGCAAAACCACTTCAGCTATTTTTCTGCTCGTTGCACAATTGCTTTGGCCTATTTAGTTAACTTCATAATCATAAACAGCATCCTGTTGTCATTGACAGAACTTTGCTACATTGCAAGTTTTTCTGTTGATCGTCAGAACTTAACGTAACACTCCTGTCTCTAGAACTTTAGCCTACTTTTGAATATAAGAAATTTTAAAAAAGCTGTTTCTTATTAAAATATATCTAAACTTCATCTAGTAGGAACATTATGATATTTTTCACGTTAAAACCATACATTTCATAAATGGATTTTGGATATAGACCCAACACCAAATATGTTATGATATTTTAGATTTTCCTCTCAGTAATAGAATTAGAGCCTAATGAAGATGGATGAATAGAGAAGACAGGACAGGGATAAACCTGGGTTATTTTATGATAACCTACACCAAGCTCTGGTCAGCTCAAAAAGCTCTGTTTAATCCATCATTTACAAATATAAAGAAACTGACAAAAAAAAAAAAAAACATAAGAAAAACATGGCCTTCAATCTGAAATGAATATTTAGGCACAAGAGACTTAATCTAAAAGGATGATAAAAGGCCCATGTTAACATGAGAAGAGCCTCAGAGATCCAGAGCTACAGTAAGATAGGAAATTTGAAGACAGGAATTTTGGAATCCACAGTCAATAGTTGCCCAGATTGTGGAATTAAAAACAAGCTAAACAAATTAGATGTTTTTTCTGACAGTAGTTAAATCAACAGCTAAAGGCTGCCCATGCAGATTTCAGACTACATACAGTATACAATATAAAACAAACTGGTGTTTTCTTGGTCGTATAGTTTGCTGTTTTCAGCTGCTAAGGTGTATGTCTGAACAAGTACCAAATTCACTTTGTTATTCATTGGAAAGCATGACTGATGGTCTCTCTACCTTATTGTGACTTCTTGATGCGAGTGGTTTGTAATACTGCTCCATCAATGTGACAAATATTTCCTGTAAAGTTGCCCCATTTTTGTTTCTATGTCAAGACGTTACTGCATTTACACAGAAGTTATAAAGCCCAATGGCGTTTACCGCTGGTATCTATAAAATAATCACTTTAGAAGTGTTGAGAAAAAGAGGGAAGGGAGTAAACTATTAGAGGAAGGATGCTTGGTGAAATGTTTCTTTTGCAATGTTCTGTTAGTGATACAGAACATTGCTTGAGCAAGAATAGAACATTTTGTCTAAATGAACAACAGTATTACAACTTGAACCTTGTAAAATGTTCTTATAAATAAAACCCCCACAATATTCCTCCAAAATTCTGTAAAAGGTTTATTATTAAAATGTATTTAGAATCGATAACACATGTACCTTTTTATTTCTTCTCAGGTGTATTTAAAAAGTAACAAACAAATAAACAAATAAAAAAATTACAGATGAACTCAAATGTCACATATTTCAATAAAAAAGATAAATATCCAAATTACAAGAGTTGTCAATAAATATGTACGTTTTTTCGAGGAAGATTTTTTTTAAAAAGTAAAATAATTCTGCTCTTATGTGAACAGTTAAAATACCTTTTTTTAAATATAAAACAAAAATACATTATTCTGTTATCTTTGTTTGAAGTTAAAATGAGGTCCTATTTCTGAAGCACAAAAATGCCTTTACAGCATTCCTGTTGTTAAGAGGGTTTCATTGAGTTATATTATAATTTAATCTGTTTCAGGACGTTAAGGCAACCTTTCCCCCTGTTTTAGCCTAGAACAACGAAGCTCACTGATGAAAATTGAAATAAAAAAATCACTTATCCTCTTTGTGTTACATTAAAACAGCATTAATGCTATTCTACCTGTTCCACAGTGGCAAGAGTTTTGAGCTCTGGCTCGTTGGCCTCCGCCACACTGCAGCTTCTCTCATTGCTCTTTCCTTTAAAAGGTCTCCCAATTTTAATCGATAGCGTGTGCAGGACAGAGCTCTCGTCTGGTGAAGAACCGCTGCGGCCACTGCGGGTGAAAGTGGACGTGGTTCTGGACTCAGAGTTGGTGGCCTCAAAGAGTCTCCCCATGAAGCTGAGCCCCGCTTGGCGGATGTGCGAGCTGCCGGCAAAAACGTAGAGGATGGGGTTGACCGCACTGCTGAAGTAGGCGAAGGCTGTGACGTTTGGCCGGGCACTTGGAGTGCAGCTGGTTCCTGAATCATTGCTTTTGAATAAACAGGCAACCTAGGAGAGCAGAAAGAGATGAGGAATTAAAGATATTTTGGATGTCTTTGAATTGGGGTTCTGTAAGGAAGTTAAAAATGTCTATACATTGAACAGCTTTTTTTCTACATTAAGGGAAGTATTAATGCGGGCATACAGTCAGAGGAGCTGAACTACCTTTAAGGTAGGCCTACAGTAGTAAAGGCTTGCAACTACTGTACTAAGGCTTGCATTTAGGTCAAAATTGATAACATAGAAAATGCTAAGCATATTTGAAGGAAGATATGAAAAGTACGCTACGGATTATTATCCTAAAGCAACTTGTGTGCATGGTCTCCGTGATGATATTTTCTAGTTTTACTCGCATTCATTTATTTTGCGTCTTTTAAATTCAAAGTAAGCCTGTTGGAATGTATTTATCTTTCATAGTTCCTTAATACTTCTAAACTAGTTACAACACAGACTAAAAAGCTTGGAAAAAAATTTTTGGCTTCTTATTTCCTTGTGAGATAGATAGATAGATAGATAGATAGATAGATAGATAGATAGATAGATAGATAGATAGATAGATAGATAGATAGATAGATAGATAGATAGATAGATAGATAGATAGATAGATAGATAGATAGATAGATAGATAGATAGATAGATAGATAGATAGATAGATAGATAGATAGATAGATAGATAGATAGATAGATAGATAGATAGATAGATAGATAGATAGATAGATAGATAGATAGATAGTTGATGTCGGATGAAAGCATCCACAATCACCTCGATGATGTTGATGATGTGATAGGGCAGCCAGAATATAGCAAAGGTAATGATGATCAGCAAGATCAGACGACTGCCTTGTCCTCTGCGCTGAAACTTTGCACTTTGCAGTCTGCATATGACGGATGAGTAACAGGTGCTGATGAGGGAGAAGGGAACCAAGCAGCCCATGATGGTCTCAAATAGGTACTGGAAAACTCGGTGACCCACACTCTTCCAGTGGTATGGGATGCAAATGTTCAGACTGACGTTGTTTTTCATGATCTTGATGTTGCTGTTGGATGTAACAAAGAAATAAAAAAAAATAGCCACAGATTAACTCGGTGTCAACAAGTCAAATCAGAGTGGTCCTGAAGTGCATATCTTTGTTAAATTATATTAGTGTTAAATTATATTAAATACCCAGTGTTCCCTGTACAGAGCCCATAGGACGATGCCCACTTTATATCCTCTTTAAAAACCTTTTTTATTTTTTTTTATTTTAATCAAAATCCTTCCAAGAGGCAGACTTTACCAATAAAGTTTTCACAAGTACTTTAGGTTTTACAACACTTTATACCCAGGCTGGTGTCCTTGGAAACTCAAGCGTCATACCTTTCTAAAAACCTATTGCACATCTGTCACAATGTGTGTGTAACATGTTTATAAAAGTAGCGGTTACTTTTATAACCTATGTGCTTTTCACACTGTTAGCTTTATGAACTGCTACCTGCACAGTCGATTATTATTAAGCGCAAATGTCAATGACCAAAGGCTATGTCATAGGCAGAAGTAGCCCTAAAATGACAGTTCATACTTTTATTTGACTAGATTCACTTTTATGAACTAAAAAAACACATTTACAGCAATTTTGGCATTGTGCCAAAAGGACACAAGAACACACCAGATAAGTCTGAGACTACTGTAGAGAAGTTTAGAGCTTTGGATACATAAAGTTTCCCCAAGTTTTAACATCTTAAAGAGGACTGTAATTGCAATCGATTGAAAATGGAAGGAGTATCAGACCACTAAGAATCTGCAAAGACCTGTCCCTCTAAACTTTCAGCTCAAACAAGGAGAAGAGTGATCAGAGATGCAGCCAAGAGGCAGATGATCACTCTGGATGAACTGCAGAAATCTAATCTAATGCTGAGGCTGGAAACTCTGCACATAGGACAGCAATTAGTTGTATAATTCAAAAACCTGTCCTTTATGGACGAAATCATTTCTTAAAAATATCCATAGAAAGTCTCCTTTAAAGTTTGCCACAAGCCACCTGGGAGACACAGCAAACATATCGAAGAAGAAGAAGCCAAAATCAAACTTTACTGAAGGTTATGTTTTGCATGAATGCAACACAGCTCATCAACCTGAACACATCATCCCCACTGTCAAACATGGTGGTGGCAGTGTAATGTTCTTCAGCAGGGAAGATGGTTAAAATTATTGGGAAGATGGGTGGAGCCAAATACAGGATAATTTGGGAAGTAAACCTGTTGGAGTCTGCAAAAGACCTGAGACTATGACGGAGATTTATCTTCCAATAAGACAATGATCCCAAACATATGGAAACATCTACAGTGTAATGTTTTTTTGCAAGGAAGAATATGATGAAATGTCAGTCTCTTGATGTGCAAAACTAAAATAGATACACCCCAAGGGACTTGCAGCTGTAATCACAGCATAAGGTGGCGCTACAAAGTATTAACTCAAGGAGCTGAATCCTTTTACACTCACAGTTTTCAGTTTTTATTCTGTCAAAAAAGTTTAAATCGTCCAATAAATCCGACTTAGAGTCAGACAACTTATATTGTCATTTTGTATATATAGACTGAATACAAAACAACATTTCGCTTTTTACAGATTTCAGACAGCAAATGAGCAGCAGCTTAGCAGTAAAATTTTCATTCCATAAATTGCAACAGTGATCAAATGTAAACAGTATGAGACAAAACATCATGGTGCAAAACCCTTTGATATGGAAGTTCAGAGCATCTTTTTTTAAGTTTGGTTCTTTTTGGTTTGTTGTTATCAGTGTGATGCAGAGTCTGTGACTTGATTTAGATTTTTTTTTCAACAGTTCAGTTGTCTGATGGCAGTGAGGAAAAAGTTGTTGCAGAATCTGCAAGGGTACAAAAATTTAAATATTATATCCTTATGTTTGAAGCCTGAAATGTGGAAAAACGTTGAAGGGCGGCCTGAATACTTTAGTAAGGCACTGTACATTCATATTTAGTAAATCCCAATAATACTGAAAAGCTCATTTATTATATTGTATGCTTAATTCCTGCTTATAGGCTGTTATTTTCAAAAGTCTGAAACCTTTAATTTGAAAAAATATTTTAATTTAAATTCATATTCTAGTCTATCACAACTGAATTACCTCATCAAAGGTAATTCTTTATCAAAGGTAATTGGAGATTTACAGGACAGAATAAGAGCATTACAAGCCCTTTGAAAATGCAATGGCTAATTTTAAAACCAATTGAGAAGCTCTTCTAAAGCGGAAGTATATTAAAACCTACAGTTTTTCATAATAGATTAATTGAAGTTAAAATTGAAAGCAATATGGAGACAAATTAAAGTGGCAAATTTCATTAGGCTTCCCTTGCAGGACAGCGTTGCATTGCCATGAGCTAGCCCAGAAGCTGCACATTGCCACCACAATGTCTCTGCAGAGCCAGTTGTCAAGTTCCAAATTTCAGCACCAGCTGGTACTATGAGTAGAACATTATCTGACCTTTGGTTAGGCTGAGTTCAACTCTCACATAAGTTTTACAAATATGGCCAAAAAAGTGACATTGTTAACAGAAGTTGTGGTTACGTCTTAGAGGGTGGGGCTACTGTAAAGTGATGTCACCAAATAAATATGACAGTTTGCTGAAGAGTGTTCTCTTAGCAGAAGATTTGGAGTATATGGCGTCAAGAGTCTGCCAAAGTGCACAAACACAATAAATATTCCTACAAGGAGCTTTACTTCACACATAAAGTACTCCTCATCTGCATGTTTAACGTATTAATGGGTTACATGCCCTAATAGAGTACTTTTCTCTGTAAAAATTACAGCCTATCGAAATCTTGTCGACAACTTTGAGGCCTGGCACCACCAAACATAAACGAAAACTCAAGATTTTAATACGTTTTCATTTCGAAATTGCATTCAGACCAATTTTGAAACTGGTATGTTAAAATCCCAATAATCTTTTTAAGTCTGAAATATTTAATATAACTTTGACCAAATGGTTGACTTCCTGCTTAGCCAATATTTTATTTATCCCACCTCTATTTCTGTCATGATTTAAGGAGTTCTACCAGTGTTTCAGATCTATACTACCTAGATTTCATTCTCTTTCAAATTTGGGAGCATTCTAGAGCTGCTTGAACCTGTGAATTTTAAATCCATTAAATAGGTCCCTTTTGCAATAGTTGAAAGCTATCCAGTGCCGCTGGAACTAGTTTTGAAAAGGGGTGCTGTGAAAATGTATTTGGTTTTTTTTTTTAGACAGAAGACCTATGAGCCTATAGGCCTATTTAAAGTACAATTAAAATAAATAATTAAATTGAGATTCACCAATTTATTGTCATATACACTTCAGTGCACACAACCAGGGTCTGTAACACACAGACATCATCAGTTCAGTTAAGTGAATATATGCACTGTTAATTAAACTTCACAATAACACTATAAGAATGTAGATTTGGTCAACTGGCATGAACCTGAGTCACTGTGTTTATGTCAGATGTGACTCTAAAGCTCCAAAATCCTATTATGCAAACCACAAAGAAATAATTATATTACTATACTATGTTAAATGTTATTGAACAGTTCTGTATGCTGGTGAAGATTCTCAGTCATTCAGGTCTTGGTCATTCCAAAAAAAACAAAAAAAACAATCCACTGGATTTTGTTTCAAACTAACAAGTCCACCCGTTTGGACCCATTCGTCCGTTTCAATTTGCATGTTTTCTAAACAGAAACAAGGCTTTGATGGGCTACTGTATAAAACCTCAGAGTCAACGCTATTCATGACATTTTGAATGGAGAAAGCGTTTCTGTGCCATATTTCCTCCTTGTTTCTATCATTAGACTATGTAAATTTACTAGTCTGCTTCCGTGTGTCGGTTACCTCTTTGGTGACCACTAGCTTACATGACATTGCGATTACAACCTAACTTCCGTGTTTATTAGGCTTCAAAATAATTAAATAAAAATCGAAATGTACATAATATTGAAATAAATAAAGTCAAACTCATTTTCAAAAATATTTTAAAGAAATTTATAAATTGTGCAAAGTATTATATATATATATATATATATATATATATATATATATATATATATATATATATATATATATATATATATATATATATATATATATATATATATATATATATATCTATATAGATATATAGATATATAGATATATATAGATATATATTAGGGATGGAACGGTTTTTGAAAACCGTACGAAACGTTCGGTTCGACTGTCTCCGTTCGGTTCGTGTGTGTTGCGTTCGGTTAATGCGCTGCTCCTTTTTCTCATAGGCAAAGCGTTTACACTCCAGAGCAGAAGGTGGCGGTACGGCGACCAAACCACCAGTAGTAAACAAGAAGAAGAAGAAGCGAAGCAGCGTAGCCGGGTGTAGCAGAAAAAAATCAGTTGTTGTGGAGAATTGTGTGGGTATGGCGAGTGGGAAAGAACAGGAGTTGGAAGACCCGCCAGCAGCACTTTATAGGTCTGCTGTATGGGACCACTTTGCATTTAGAGTGACCTACGATGACGGCGGAAAGAAAGTTGTAGATAAAGGTGCAACAGTGTGCAAGCATTGTGCAACACGTTTTGTTTATGCTAACAGCAACATGACCAACATGTCATGCTAACCCCGAAATCCCATATACTCAGTCAGCGCTCCGCTTCGCTTCGTCCCGCTGCGCACCAGACCGCCTGCACAAAGCAAAGCCTACAGCCTTCGCTGTGGCTCCCATCCGCTCCGCTCTGAGTTCCTTGGAGATCGAGAGAGCATGCGCGAAATTATTAAATTCAAAGCAGCAAAACATGTGGAAATTATCCATGGTTTCCGTGGATCATTATAAATAATTACAATTCATAATTTTTTTTTGATTTTTTTCATTAATTTCATACATTTTTATTTTTCATTAATTTTTATTTTTTTATTTTTTTTCGGTGTAACAATAAACATATACCTAACCGAACCGAAAACCGTGACCACGAAACCGTGAACCGAACCGAGGATTTTGTGAACCGTTCCACCCCGAATATATATATATATATATATATATATATATATATATATATATATATTTTTTTTTTTTTTTTTTTTTTTTTTATCTCCCTCTCGCCACTAGGCCCACTTCCCGTGGCCATGAAACTCTCCAAATTTTGGTGAGTTTTTTATTTGTTTGGTCTTCCAAAAGATAATTTATTTTTCAGGGGAATAACAAGCATTTGAAAATAAATGACCTTCTCTTTGGTTTTACTGCTGGGGCCTAATAGTAGTGTTGATTCAAAAACGGGATACCCTTTTAAGGTGGTAGCAAGGTTTTGATGCAAACTAAGAGGAAGCTGACAGATTTTGTTTGTTTATTTCTGCAAGGATTGACTTAAGACATAGAGGAAAAGGTGTTCAATGTTGGGTTATGCTTTTAATTTAAATCAATATAAATACCTTAATTCAGAAATTCTTTTGTTTAATCCAGTGGTCTCCAACCCTGGTCCTCAAGATCTACTGTCCTGCAGATTTTAGATGCATCCCTGCTTCAACACAGCTGAATCAAATGATTGATTAACTTTTCAAGCCATTCATTTGATTCAGCTGTGTTGAAGCAGGGATGCATCTAAAATCTGCAGGACAGTAGATCTTGAGGACCAGGGTTGGAGACCACTGGTTTAATCTAATGTTTGCTTTTATATAATAGCTCCAAGTTACACTATATAATTAGAATTGGTTTAGTTATAACTGTTTGTTTTATAGTTGCGAACGAAAAGTGAACAAGTTAACTCCAAAATGATTGAAACCTGTAGCAGATTTAGTTTGATTTGGTTCAGTTTTGAAATGAGACAGAATATTTTTTCAAAACTGAATGTCAACGATTATCTCATTTAACAATGAACAAATCTTTATCCGCAGTAGTGCACCAGCCCTTCCTCTAATTACTGAGTAGCTTTTATATGTTCAACCGTAATTTAATCATGTTTCTTTGGTAATGAGCCCTTGAACTCATGACCTCTGCAAGGCCCCTTACCCTAGGTTTTTGCTCCATCTGTAGATTCTTTATCGGATTAAAGTCACGACTCTGGCCTTGTCACTCCAAAATGTAATTATTACTTCTTGTATGAAGATGGTGAAAGTGTTAGGATTTTACCTTAATCTAAATCTGAAAGCAGTAAAACCACTTTGGGATTAACTTCACGAAAATTCTTAGTGAATCGTAAAAAACCTTACATTCAATTGTCCAGTGGAAACTTATTAGTTTCTAGTTTAGAACTTTGTAGAAATTTTGGAGCTTGTGAACTTTATTATCAAAGGGAAGTCGGATAAAAAGAATTAAAAATAAAAAAACGTGAAAAAAAAAGAAAAAAGAAAAACTAAATCTCTAGTTACAAGAGAAATTTCAATTAAAACCTTTGTGAGTGATTGTCTTACCTGCGGTAGAAAGCCATTGGTATGGACAGGACAAAAGCCAATACCCAGACACCAAGCAGAAGAAACAGCAGGGACTGCTTGGTTCTCATTCTCTGGGACACAAAGGGTTTAGTAACAGCCAGCCAGCGGTCCATGCTCATCAGACTAATGAGGTAAATGGACACATACATGTTCACACTGGACAGGTAATGCACCAGTTTACATGCAGCGGAGCCAAACTCCCAGCCCTTCCCTCCTGCCAGGAACCGAAGGAACAAGGGGGCACTGAGCAGCACGAAGCCGTCAGCCACAGCCAGATTCAGCACCAACAGGCACGTCACTGAGCGCTTCTTCACCCTGCAGAGCACCGACCAAATGACAAACATGTTCCCAAGGAAGCCCAGCACGAACGCCAGAATCAGGATGGCAATGCCAATGCGAGCAGAGATGCTAATGGGAAGGAGTGTGGAGCCAGAAGAAGAGGTCTGCTGGAAGGGGCTAGCAGTGGTGATGTTCATAATGGATCCAAATTCCTTATTCCTCTAAGAAATGGCTTCAGCAACCATTAAACCCTTCAAAGCTGTTATAGAAGGAAAGGGAGGAAAGGAAATGTGTGTTAAGAATGTCCGTTAATGCTGCAATAGTTGTGCAATGAGTTTTTAAATCTTTAAAGTACAGATCTTTCCTCTTTTTAGAATAATTTAATTGGACCAATTTTGAAATAACAATGACATTATTCCAGTACATCACCTAAACATAAGAATTTTCTCAAAATAAACATAATGTAAGGCTCTCAATAATAGCTTCTATAACATGGATGTGGAATAAACCAATTAAGTATTAAATAATAATTTATTATTATTATTATTATTCAATAGCTTTTATACTTTTTTTTATCTTAAAGACTAAGAAAGAGACATATTGAGGACAAAATAGCCAAATACATTTCTTTCAAACTTTTTCAGTTAAGGTCATATGAAATAATTTGTATGAAACTCACCTTGAAAATATATATTTTCTCTTTATTTGCAACCATAAATCCTCTGTCAAGAATTTCCTCCTTCTCTCCACCCTGCTCACTGGCTCTCTATGCGTTCTCTGCCGACTGTGTGATGAGTGACTAAACTCAATTTATTGGGTAAGAACGGTCATGTGAGGGGAAATCCATTGACCACAGGAAAATAGCGTGAACTAGATGGATTGCAAAGTCGTCCTTGTTCCTCTTACTCACTTAATTTGCTATTTATTTTGTTTTTGCCGAATGATGCATCTATACTTATATCGGAACTTGTTTGAAGGTTCATCAGACTGTTGGCAGCAAGAACAGCTGCTCTCTGTGGTACAGGGTTTGCTCATCAAATTTCCAGGAAATATAATATGACACAAGAAGGAAGTTTAAGAGATGAACAGCTTAATCAAAAAGACAAGAAAAAACAGTCCAGCTGAAATGATTGCATTTTCTGTTCCACTCAGCCAGTAAGAAAAGAAGATTGTATTAACTTGTCTAAAGCTAATGATTTTTATTTTTTATGGAAGATTAGTAATGAACATCCTGAGATTTCATCATGGGGGTGAATACGTCAAGTATGTGATTATTCCAGTAAACTGAATCGACCGTGTTCGTACACAAGCTCAGTTCATAACACTGTCTTGTTCGCTGTCTTTAGTGTTGCAATAAACCCTTTAAAGCACTTTCTTGTTTCTACATCTGTGTCAAGCAAATGAACAGGATGTTTTCAGTTTCAGACATAACAGTGATGCATCAGGTTTATCATGGTTTGCGTCATGATCTCTGTTTGGAAACTGCTCAGTTTTATATAGCAAGTAAAATGTTTATTTGCTGCTAATGCTTAACTCAGCTTTCATTCCTGTAAACAATTCAAACCATTGTAAGTTTTTAGATTAAATTCAGTTAAAATAATTTCAATGCAATCTAAATAAAATCAGTCCTTTAAATGTTAACACTTGATAATTTCACTAAAACATATATATGTCCTTCAAGAGATATATTGCATATTTGTATATATTGTTCCTCCTGGTTACCCTTACCTAGTTAATAATAATAAGATAGGGGAATACTTACCTTAGCATTGTCCCTTGGATTTTAGGACCACTGCCTTTTCACCTATTCCCAAGTAGGCAGTCAGAGAGTTTGTTGACATGCATTCATGTTTTTAGCACACCCCAGCGGAAGACATAGAGCTGAGCATTGCTAATGATGATGATAGTATGGGCAGATATATTATGATGGAAATGTCTTTCACCAAAGGCCTGGACAATGGTGGTACTGGAAGTAAAGGAGGAAGGGAGATGAATGAAGTCCATGCATTTTTTACTTCAAGGCTGGATTATTGTAATTCTTTACTATCAGGAAGTCCACCAAAAAGGGTCGCTGGGTGCTGTGAATTTTTTTTTGTTTTTCCTTTTGGAAGAAAGACCTCTGAGTCTATAGGCCTATTTAAAATACAAATAAATAAACAGATAGTTGAGATTCATGATTTTACTGCCATATGCACTTCAGTGCACACAACTGTCTGTAACACCATGAGCTGTCATCAATTCTCAGGTGAATATATGCGCTCTCAATTATATAGTCACAATAACACTATAACAACGTAGATTTGCTACAGAAGCATGAACCTGTGTAATTGAGTTTATGTCAAACATGACTATATTAGATTCAAAGTCCTTTTACACAAACCACAAGGAAATAACTGTATTATTATACTATTAAAATGTTACTAAACAGCTCTCCACATCCATGACACAAAGAACACAAGATCAAAATGGATAAAAGTTGAAAATAACACTCTTTAAAATAATTTGGTTGGGTTAAACTTCAAAAATAGATATGAAAGTGCTCTTCAGGACCATGCTCTTACTATGAGCTACAGGCAGGGTACCCTGGTTACACGCTAGGTTGGTTTGCGGGTGCTGTCGCTGGGCCTGCCAGTGCAATCGCCATCAGAGGCTAGTGGACAGTCTCCTCACTCCAGCTGCTCTCAGTTGTCAAGGTTGTGGTACTAGTGTTGTTTCTCACTGGTGCTAGTTTTCAAAAAAAAATCTGAAATGTGTTTCCATATATACTCCTTGTGTCTGTCAATAGACTATCTAAATTTACTAGTCTGCATCTGCGGGTAGCATACCTCTTCACACGGCGATCATAAGCTTTCTTGGCTTTGCCATGACAATGTAATTTCAATGAATTTGTTGCTTGGGCCTCAAAATATTTAAATGAAAATCCAAATACACGCAATATTTAAAAAAAAAAGGCAAGATCAGTTCCCAAAATGTATACACTGTGCGCAGAATTATTAGGGAAGTTGTATTTTTGAGGATTATTCTTTTTATTGGGCCACAATTGTGTTATCAATCAACCCAAAAGACTCCTTAATATCAAAGTTTTATATTTTTGTTAGTTGGTGTTTTGTTTTTGTTTTTAGATTTGGCCATTTTATGAGGATGTCTGTGTGTGCAGGTAAATATTACTGTGCAGAATTATTCTTTATAAAATTATTTAATTATTATAAAATATTATCATGTCTCTGTGTTAAAACCCCCAAGCATACGCAGATAAACCATCTGGCATAGCAAACTGTAAGATTAACTGATGATTTTTTTTGTTTTTATAAAGATGTTCTTTTACCCACAAGTAAAGCAAACAAGTAAAGGAAGAAAAACATTGAGTCACTGTTAAATTGGACTTTCTGAATGTATACCTGTACCTATTGAATTTTAACCTCAGAGCTGATGTAACAGTTACTGTAAAGGAAGATTTTTGTCGACCCTGATTTTTTGCATTTGGCTGATTGACAGGAAACCTTCACAGGAAAACAGTCAGCAAGAACAAACAATGTGTGGGCTGTAAAAGGGGAATATCTGCTTGTCAGGACAGAAAGTCCAACAGGTAATTTGAAGACAAGAACTTTTAGCTGAAAAAATAGGCAGACATAAATTATTCTTTGTGAGTGAAATAAAAAAAGTGTAACATAACACTTTCTATCTATCTATCTATCTATCTATCTATCTATCTATCTATCTATCTATCTATCTATCTATCTATCTATCTATCTATCTATCTATCTATCTATCTATCTATCTATCTATCTATCTATCTATCTATCTATCTATCTATCTATCTATCTATCTATCTATCTATCTATCTATCTATCTATCTATCTATCTATCTATCTATCTATCTATCTATCTATCTATCTATCTATCTATCTCACAAGGAAATAAGAAGCCAAAAATTTTTTTCCAAGTTTTTGGTCTGTGTTGCAACTAGTTTAGAAGTATTAAGGAACTATGAAAGATAAATACATTCCAACAGCTTCAGGAAAGGATACTTTAGGGGAAAACCCAGGTATTAGATTGGAAAATTGAAATCTATTTTACATGAGCTTTTCTTGTGAACAAATGGCATGTACCCTATATAAAAGATACGTCTGTATGGTTGTTGAAGTTTTCACCCATTTCCAGTGCTTGTTGCTGTCGAAACTGTTCAATGTTCTGCAGCATAAAAAAATTATTGGTGCCTCAATCTGCAACTAGCAGTTAGGCTGAAATTGAATTCTGACCTTTCAAATTTAGATAGATTTTGGGTACGTAAAAAATAATTTCAAGCAATTTGTACATTGTATCTGCTTTAGTTTGCGCTACAATGAATTTAATAATTATGAAACAAAATATATACAAAATATCTTGCAGCTTATATATTCAGAAAAACATTGCAGGAAAACTTTTGATTGAAACTTTTAAATCATTTAGACATAAATTACAAGTTATGTTTTAAGCTATACCCTAAAATGGCACAGGATTTAAATTAATAAAAAATAATTCATTATGTATTTAAGTAGTTTGTATTGAGATACCATTAAATCTAAGGGGTTACCTTTTTGGGTACAAGACTCTTTGTGTTGGTCTTACATGACCAGAAAATAGATTCAAAACCCACATTTTCAGCTGTTTGAAAAAAGTGACATCTAGTGGCAAGAAATATAGATAAACATTTTAGGCCTGGAGGGGAAATATAAAAAAGTCAGTTGAAGAAAATGCAGAAAGACCTTCTTAGGTAACAGTAGCATCATAATATAAACATTAGAGGGATGATAAATTGAGACCAATATTCTCCTTTAATATAAATTATTTGCTCTGACACAATAAAACATATAATCTTTTTGTTTTATAAAAACAATTCTGTAAAAATAGAACTATTTAGAAACTTGGGGAAAAAATACATATTTTTTAGTGAAACCTTGGCAAATGAACAGGATTCCAAAACACTTCAACTCCACCACTTGAGGCAGGTGCTCTTCTCCAACCTGAGGGGGAAGCCATTTTTTTTCGGTCGATAGCCATAGTCTCAGACCTTGAGGAGCTCACCCTAATTACAGCTGCAGGATTGGCAGGAATAAGAAAGCACAACCGCATCGTCCACAAAAATGCATCTATGGTCATGAAATCTAATGACTGAAGTTCCCAGATGCAAGCAGCCAAAATGAGCTTCAATTGGGTCCTCTCTTAGGGTGAGTAGTTTGGCAATCCTTGAAGGAGAACATGGATAGGAGTCAGCTAAGTCACTTTTGCGGATGCCCCATGGACGGCTCTTAGGGAGGTCTTTCAGGCACTTCAAACCAGCAGGAGGCTTAGAGGACCGCACAAGACACACTGGAAGGATTATGACTCTCAGCTGCCCTGAAACACCTTAGAATTCTCCCCAGAGAACCTGGAGGAGGTTTCTAGGGAGGGGGAAGTCTATGTTGAGAGTGTTTTCCCCTGCAACCTGGTACCAGATAAGTCTAAGATGACTAGTACAAGTGAAAATACCTTGGCAAAGGTTATTATGTAAAGTGGAAAAAAGGACTAAATAAACATCCTAAGGATAATCCATCGGGAAAAACTTATACAAAACTACTGCAGATGCATAAATATTTATATTTATATGAACCTTAAAAATGGTCAAAATTTGGGATGCAGATCTTGGAAGATTGCTGCGAAGTTTATGCATTCTGGACTCTACTCTGCTGTTCATTTTATATTGCAATATTTTCTTATGCACCATCAACAACATATTATGAGATGGGGTTAGAGCAGTGCTTGACCTTTAAGGAAGGCTGCAGGGGATACCCAGTCTAAATGCCACAGACTGCAACTCTGGGACCCTGGGCAGGACTCTTATCCTGTTACCGTATCTGTGTGTCCCAGAGCATCAAGTAGATGTGACTATGTGCTTTCCAGCACTCAGCTAAATATTAGGAGTTGTTGTTCAGTTTTAAGTCTTCATAAAGTATGCTGAAGTTATGACTGGACGCAATGAAGATTGAAAGATTTAAGTCACTCTATTTCCCATTTCTTGTTGCCTTCACATTAGAACTTGAGTTTGTAGAAGAGTCTCCTTCTTTGTCTTTGAGCACAACTTCTGCATCTTTGTCTTTGTCTTGGCTGTTCTGGCTGCTCATGCGGCTCTTTCTACCGAAGTCCAAAGCCGTGCCCTCGAACAAGCGAGCCATGAATTCCAGCCCCTCCCTTCTGATGTAGGACTTTCCTGCGAAGAAGTAGAGCACCGGGTTGGCACAGCTGCTGATGAAGGCGATGGTGGAGGTAACAGCACGACCCCTTTGCCATATTAAACCCAACCTGGTAAGAAAAAGAGGGTAAGAATTTGAGAAGGGAGTGAGATGAAATACTCCATGCCTGAAAGAAGCTGGTAACACTTGACTCTGTTTTTAGAGACAAGCTTCTGTTAATGTGACATTGTGAATTAGTTCTGCAGTAGTTTAAGTTTACACATCACCTGTAAACAATATAACAAATGTTATTTACTTTCGCATTTTTCAGCATGTGAAAAAGTTTGATTTTCATTCAGAGCAATATCATCGCCGTATAATGAAAATTTTACAAGGGATTATGTTAGGTACAACACATAGTTATGTCATAATCCTGGTGCTGATGGTTGTTTTTTTTTCCTCTGCTCCTGCTCACCTGCCTAATTGGACCTGTGACTGATTACTGCCAATCTGATTCACCTGCTCCCTGCAGCTATTTAGGCTGTTTGCTTTCCTGACATCAGCGTCAGATTATTCAGCCTGTGTCAGAGTGAGTTACCCAAGCTGTGAAAGTAAGTGTTCTGTTCTGTGGAATTCTTCTCAGTTTTTTGCCCATGTGTTTTTGGTTTTTGCCTTTTTCCCTGTATGCCCTGCTCAGTTTGGTTTTTGGCCTGACTGCCTGGATTTTGCCTGTGATCGAACTTGGACTGTTTTTCTGATCTCAGCTTGGATTCTCCCTGGATACCTCTTCGGCTCTCGGATAACCTATCACTGCACTGGACTGGTTTTCGGCTTCGCATAATCTCTCACGGACACAGTAGCTCGCTCTGCGTCGGCTGGCGCCGGCTACCCTGTGCTCTGAAGCGGTAACGACCGCAAGCGGTGGACTGTCTCCCCCCAGGTTTCTCCTCTCTGAGTTTCAGACTGAACTCTCAACCAGGTCAGTGACGTTTTGTTGTCTTCTCCACTCTTCATTCTTGTCACTGACCTGAGTTTCCTGTCTCAGCAGAGAATCAGAGAACCCTCTCTGAGGAGTTTCCATCGTCCTCTTTTTGTTGCTTATTAAATAAACCTGTTTTGAAACCTTCTGTTTGTCTGCTGAATATTGGGTCCAAGCTTCAATGCGTGTTACAAGTTATATTCCTTTAACACATACATTCTAATACTTTTTTTTTTTTTATAGTGAAAAGGACCACTTCTATACACTGTCTTTTGCTTAAAGGTGGACTTTGGTTCCCCGAAAATCAGATATTCACTACGGTATGAAACTTGAATTATTACAATAAATGAGACTGAAATGAGGGACCAATGCTAAAAACAGGCCAATAATCAAAAAGTTTTTTTTTTTTTTTTTTTTTACAATTTCAAACTTGCAACTAGGATGTGTCTGCCTTAATAGGGTATTTGTCAGGTTTAATGAAGGACTTACAGGCAACTGAGGCAAAAATCCAAAATACAAATACAGGGGAAAAAAACAGAATCTAGGAAATATCAGGGAAAACATACATGAGTAGCCTTGAAAAGACGAGGAACCACCACTAACTAAACAGGGAGAATACATATATATATTTTATGTCTTTTATATATATATATATATATATATATAGGAGGCATAAAAAAGACTGGACTAATGACCTGACAAGGAACAGGTGTGAATGGAAGCTTTTAGACAGGCATCCCCAACCTCGGTTGTCGAGGCCGGCTGTCCTGCAGGTTTTGGAGGTTTCCTTGCTCTATCACAGCTGATTTTAATTAAAAGCTGATTAACAGGCTTTTGCTCAACTTCAGTCATCACAATCAGCTGTGCTAAAGCAGGGAAACCTCTAAAACCTGCAGGACAGAGGCCCTTGATGACCGACTTTGGGGATGCCTGCTCTAGAAGGAAGCCAAGGGGAAAGGAAACAAACATGAGGGGGGGGGACAGAGAGTCACTTAAGAACAAAACACTGCTAGAAAACAACTACAAATACAAAGAAACAAAAAATTCATTTAAACAGAGGACAGAACCCTGGTAACCCAGTATTAATGCATCTCTAAAGTTTTTGTTGTAGAAATACATGCACTTGTTCTTACAGCACATTGTCGATTTTATGTTTCATTAAAATATTTCATGCTTAGTTTTTTGTTGACCTTGTACAAATATTCACAATGACAATATTATGGCTCACCTATACTTCTGATTGACTCTTTCTTTCTCTCTCTCTCTCTCTCTCTCTCTCTCTCTTGAATGGAAAATTAAATCTTAGATGGTAACTTAAGATAATAGTTTCCTGAGCTCTCCAGATCTGATTGTTGTAAAAAGATGAACCCTCCTTTTTTGACAAAACTAAAGAAGAGACTCCATGATTCAGGGTACATTATATATCTTGCTTATTAGCCATCGGGAATTTACTATAATTCAACCAACTCACAATAACATAACATGACATCTGTTTTTTTTACTTTAGGCAAAGAAGAATGACTTCACAGAATATTTATATTCTTCACAGAAGAATATTAACTTCACAGAACTTTACTTAGAAAAAAAAAAATAACTAAAATCCTTTGAAGTATTTGAAAAGAAGAGTATGTTTAGTTAAACACCTCTACAACTGGCATAAAAAGAGGAGGATGAAAAATAGAATTAATTTAAATAATTTCCCCATAACAGATAGTTAAAGCCAGAATTCTAAAAAGAAATGTTCTTGCAGATTGTATAGTCGGGCCACATATAAGACATTATACATTATGAGACACCAAGATGTGTCAGCCATTGTTTATATTATCTGCTGGCTTTATTAAACAGGAGGCTAAACTAATATAGACTGTTAGAAATTCTGATTTATTATTTTGCAGTCAGACATATATAAGCAACTGAGTTGGAGCAAAACTGGAAAAAGGAACCAGTAGAGCACATTGGTCTACTATCCTAATTAAAACATAACTTAGATCCTGTGCAGTCATGTTCACGCTAACTGGTTTTCCTGGATCGGTTGACAGTCTGTCTGGCAATTATCAATGGCAGTTATTCCACATGTCCCACAATGATATATAGCACTTGTCAGTAAATTCTGGCTATATTAATGCATCTTGATAATTTCATTCAATCATCCAAATTCACATTTCCTTACTGCTTTAATGTTATAAACTATTAGAAACCCATACAGTCATATTTTGCGCACATTAGCTAGATGGAGAAAGACTTTGCATGGAACTGCATTGGGTGACCTGTAGTTTTACACAAGATTGATTGATTTTTAGCCTTAGTCTGGTCTGCCTGCAAGAGAAGCACATTTCCTTGTGTTTCAGGTAGAGAGAGTCAGAGCCCGAATTAGTCATTTGTAGAAGAACCTTGTTGATTTATTTGGAGAGCAGAATTGTACATTAATCAGCAAAGCCAAACAGCTCCTGGGTCTGGGTGGATTGGTGAAAAAGGCTGAATTTCCAATAAACAAATTACTTAGAAACAGTTGCACCCTTGAGCAAATAGAAAGCATGCATATTTGGGTGGAATCACTTACAGTTTTTTTTTTGGTGACTCTTCCGGAGATAAAGCCCATGCGACCTGGGAGGGTTAGGAACGCAGAATTACATAGTTATTACCAAAAGATTGAAATTGATAATAAAGGTATATGGATATAACACTTAACATTGTCTCATATGCTAAGAGAAACATACTTGCACCATGTTGATGACGTGGTAGGGCACCCAGAACAGGCAGAAGGTCACCACGATGGCCAGGATGAGCTTTTCACTTCGTATCCGACGGCGAAATTTAGTCTGCCGGATCTTTCGCAAAATGAGAATGTAGCTGACTACAATGACTCCATAAGGTATTACAAAGCCCAAAACGAGCTCAAGTGTGTACTGCAGAACCACCTGTGTGTTGGGGTGTTTATAAGAAGGGATCAGGGGTAGAAATAGGAAATAAAAAAAATAAGTTTTGCTCATTTAATATAGAGTTAATGTTAAAGGGAGAAAAATGATCTTCCAAACTTACCTCGCCGTTTGTGTCATGGAATGAATCACAAACATAACCTGGATGGTTCTTTTTACACCTAACGTTTCGGTAGATTAGCGCAGGAATAGACGCAACAATTACGAGCATCCACATCACTCCTAACACTCTCAAGATGGTCCTCTTGCCAGTGATTACGCTGATACGTTTGGGCCACACCACCGACACCAGCCTGTAAACGCTCATCAGCATTATCAGCTGGATGGAAGCGTACATATTGGCCAAACAGAGGTAGAAGAGGACTTTACACATCACATTCCCCAACACCCAGTTCATCATAACCAGGTAGGCGATGAAGAAAGGGGTAAGAGCCATCAGAGAGCCATCCGCGATAGCTAGGTTGAGGATGAGGAGGGTAGTGACAGATTGCTGTCGGGCTCGTGCCAGGATGCTCCAGATGACGAATAGTAGCTTTGCCTCGTCTGTTCCTGTTTGGCTGTGACGTCATCCTGGAAAGAAACATCAGCTGTGCTGCTTCTATCAACACCCTTGTTTATAGATGTTGGAGATCGGCCTGTTTTCCAGTGTGGTCCTGTTTCTCTGACCGTGACTGAGTGGATGTGCTTTCTTCGTCCTCTGGCATGGGAGCTGCCTTGGAGCTCGTCTGCCTGGCTGTGTGTTTCCTGGACGGGGCCGCCTTTTACAGCTGCTTTTTGTATCTCTGCTTCTGTCTCCTTGAACCCCAGTCGGCCTCGGCAGATGGCCGCTCACACTGAGCCTGGTTCTGCTGGAGGTTTCTTCCTGTTAAAAGGGAGTTTTTCCTCTCCACTGTCGCTACAAGCATGCTTAGTGTGGGGGATTGTATTTGAGTCAATGAGTCAATGCAATCAACTGGTTTTCCTTAGATAGAAAACTTTGTATCAATTTGATCTGGTTGAACTGTAAAGTGCCTTGAGATGACATGTGTTGTGAATTTGGCGCTATATAAATAAACTGAATTGAATTGAATTGAATTGAATTGAATATATTTCCAGGACATCCCAACAGGAAAACAAAGGTGAGGATGAGGGCGCCGATGCTTGTAGCTGATGAACTACTTACAATGGTCTCATTCAAGCCTGTAGAGCAGCTATGGTTGAGCCTCATTTTTATCTAGAAAAGAGAAAAATTGGTTTAATGGTTTGCTTAAAGAGGGTTTCATTAATTTTCCTAGCATTAAGAATTACCATAAATTAATAATTAAAAGAGCAAAAGTTCTTTTTTTCCAGAAGTATTCTTAAAAAAAAAACACATTTAGAATCGTCTGTCAAAGGAAAGACGCAGTCAGACTCATGAGAAAAAAAAATACGGACATGAGCGTTGGACATGAGTTATCTTCTTGCTTTAAAGCGTAAGACAGCAGCACAGGTTTAAACTGGGACTCTTAATTCCTGAACAACAAGACCAGACGTGAGCATTGGAGCAATGCAGTAATAGTTGCTTTGTGGATCGGAGCGATCCACAAAGCAAGAACTTGATTTACAGCAAGTTCTGTATCGACAAGCATGGTAGGGCAAAAGTTTCTGCACCATCATAAAAATAAAAGCAATGCTTGGATTTAAGTATTTATCAAAAACATTAAAGATAAGAAATCATTCTGCAAAACTGAAATCATCTGCAGAAAAATAAGCATATATCCTTCTGCATGTACTGTTTACCAGTTTAATCTTAAAACTGTGAACAGACATGTTGCCACTTAAATTTAGAAACAGTGTAGAACATGATGTACACCAGAATGCCTTCTGGCCAAGAGAAAATAGATAAAAATAGATGAAATATTTGTTGTTGACTAGTTGTAACTTAGAAATAGCTTTAAAACACACTTTCATATTTGTGCTGGAGTATCAGCTTTTTTTACCACAACAAATATAATTTTTTTCAACTGATTGAAACCAGATAAGCATCACAACAGTCTTAGGGTGATGACTAATGTCAGCTGAGGAGACGAAACCTGCAGCTTTAAATGAACATTCAAAGACCCATCCTATATTTAAGATAAATTTAAGGTTAGGGTCTGACTTAGAATCATACATTCATCAGTGGTCTGCTAAGCAGCTATGTTTTAAACATAGTTTTTTTGTTAAGCAAGAACATCAGCAGCCTTAGCTGTTCTTTGCAGTAAAGCCACGTCCATCATTTAAAATTTCTGCTACGTTCAAGAAACCAGACTTGACTGGACTCAGCTTTTTTCTGACTTTAGTTTTCATGTCACATAACAAGCATCACACTTTGTTTGCATTGTTTCTAAATCAGGCATAAATGCCTTTACTGAGCGCTTAATGGTTATGTTTCACCAACACCCACATAACGCTCATATGCATTTCCTTTACTCAATAATATTTGTCAGTAAACAGGAACTTAAGCAACACTGAATTACTTTAAATTAGATAGAACAACCGCTCAGAGCTTAGATTTTCAAACCAAACATAATAGAAAGAAAAGTCTACAGGAGCCGCATCAAAACAGCTGATTTTTTGAGTCTTCCATGCGCTTTTTTCACTGAATAAACTTGTAGGGTTTGTCCGTTTTATGCTTTAAATAACAATTTCTGGTATTTCTTATTTACATCTCTCTTTAAAATGTCTTCTTGTTATACAGATGTTTTTTTTTTATTTAACAGTAAATGAAGCATATTTGTGATTAGAGAAAATATAATACAGTTTTTCTGATTTACAGTACTGCATTAAGTTTACTTTGCCAGTTAACATCCAATTCTTTAACTTGACATTTGCTCGAAAGCTCTCCTGATCTGTTAGATCTTTTGTCTAGAGGCATCTTAATTAAAGCCATCTAATAAACTAACATTTTCTCCAAAGCTCCCCATAAAATTTTGAGGTAAAATAGAACAAAATTTTGTACTTTTTCTAAACTCCTTCAACATTTAAGATTGTTATCATCAACGTTACTATGATCACGATCACCCTCATCCATCTTATTTGATATCAAACTGATCCATTTAATTGTAAACAGCTGTAAATAGACAAGTTAACACATAAGTGTGAGAAGAAATGTAAGACTTAAAACTCTTGCCGCAGCATATGAAAATGCAAACAGGAAGTATTTGAGAGGAATCACCTTAAACACTCAAAAGAATGTTTCAGCTGAGCTGAGATATTCAACTGCATGATCTGTAACCACATGGGGAATGATACTCAAAGATCTCTCAAATTCCACAGACAAGGAGTTCAAAGACCCTCAGCTTCGTTCAGCATCTACCATATTATCTGTTCCTCTCTTTAAAGACACATTTTGCTTTTAATTTTTATCTGTACAAACAAATCCCACCAAGCACTGTGACCTGAATGACTCAGAAGGTGTGTCTGTGTACAGTGTGACACAAAAGCATGCCTTTAAGAATTCCACCTGCTGCACCTATAAAGAAAAACTCCACAGAAACTACACTACATGTGCAGTACGTAAATACCAAGAAAGGGGCTGTTTTGGATTTATATCAGCTTTTAAAAACTTCCAATAAAATCCATCACTAAGAAAGTTGCTTGAAAAAAGTAAACTTTTCATTTTCATTAGATAAAAGGTATATTTTTATAAATATAAATTTAAACTCACCAAGAAGTAATAATCTTTCAGTGAAAAGAAAGTAGAACTGATGTTGTCCCAGATGCCAGCGTATATCTCTCCCTTCTTCTTTTTTACCTTTGCCTTTGCCCACGCTTTCCCTCCCTACAGTATATCTCTGTCTCACGCCATTGGTTTGTACTGCTTGCTGCAACACGTTTTAACCGAAGGTGGGTGGGGCTCCAATAACCTGGCCTTCCTCTGTCAGCCCTGACAGCCCCATAATGTTCATACATGTGAGTGTTTCTCCAGTTAACTTTTCAAAGTAGGACTTGAAAAATTCACTGGAATTACTCCTGTTAAATGTTGACTTTGATTGCTTAAAGTTACTTAAACTGGTTTCTTTTGATTTCACCTGCCAAGGCTTTGACATCTGAAAATGTCAAGCGAGCATGAAGGATTAGTGTATATGGAAAATAAATTATACAGTTAATATAAGTGACTTTGCACTGGATGCAATCAATCCACTTTATTTTTAAAGCACATTTAACAATAAAACTTTTTTCCAATGTGCATTATATAAAAACAAACAAAAAATCCCCCCACACTCGATGAAGATAAGGCATCAATCACAGTTTTACCACTTAAATTATGCATATCTTCACAACATGTTTGTGCTTCAGCAGAGAACTATACCCGACAATATAACAAAAGGCTTCATTCAGAAAAGGATCCCTAAAGCTTTTCCTCTATGAAGGTCACACAACTTTATATATAAGCACTTTAAAACTGCAAAGTCGATGAAAGTGCTGAACAGATATATTCATCAATCAGCAACAGACATACAAATATAATAAAAACCATAAAGACGCTACAGAAAATGTAAAAACACCTTGATAAATTAATTGGGTGAAATTTCAATGACCTGAGGTGGTTAGAGTACCAAAAACTCTACTCACACAAGATTTGACCAGTTTAATATTTGTTTTCTCAAGCAAGTCAGTGAAGACATCATTACAGTAAAAGTAAAACAAAAGTACTTGATAATAAGGCTAATCTAGCTCAGATTAATTTTTGGCTCATAAAATTCAAGTTATTGTTTAAAATGATGTAATCAGACAGATGCTGTAAGTACAGTAAGCACAAATTTTGGTATTTTAAGGTATTAAATAAAACCAAAATACTAGCAAATATAAAAATCATGATTAAAAAAATCAGTTTAGGCAGTAAGAAAATCACTTTTTAAAATCATATATGTATTTCAATTTATAAAACTAATCTTTACATGAGGTAATGAATGAAAAAAGCAACTTTCAGCGTCAATAATTAAAATCTGCTTTCTTTTTACCTGATCACCAAGTAGCTCATGTTGTTAGTAAAGTAACAAGACATTTTACTCTAGTAAGAGTACCGGTACTCTTCCAAGTTTATTGTACTGTATGTTTACTGTAGTAAAAGTAAAAGAAAAGTAAATTAAAACTAGTACTGAAGGTATTTTTTTTTTAACGTTAATCAAGCAATTGTAAGAAGTTACTTCTTAGCTCTTCCAATAACCCAGGCTTTTTAGTTTCCCTGCTTTAATTTGCGTTAGAAATGAATTCATGTGATTTGAAATCTTTTTTACATTCCAATGTTAACTAGATAAAAATCAAAACACGTGAGGAGTGTGAATAAATTGGGTTAAAAACTTACTTTTAATATTTCCTGTGTTTCCTTTTCACCATATAGAGCAGGATGCTGTCTACATGCAGTTGTTTTGCTTTACACAAAGGATTTCTCAAGACAGCAACCTAATGTTGAAATAATTTTACTGTCATGAGTCAATCCAGCTTCCAGCATTAGGGTAAATTGCATTCATCTTATGTTTGTTCCTTGAAGTTTTTGTGCATGTGAAGTTTTTTTTTTTATTATTCTGTCTTTTTTTTTAATTTGGTGGTTAGTTATTTTTTCCCCTTGAATGTAATGTAAAACCGGACCCTAAATTGTAAATTAATATAATTTGTGCAATAAATATTGTGTCTTTGTACAGATCACCCTGGTGTAGTTATGAAAGACGGACTACATCTGGAGATCTAGAGTCTGGTTACAGACATCTTACCAGGTTTGTTTTTCCAATCAAAAGCTAATGGTTGTGACGCATAACATTTTGAAATGACTGGATAGCGTTCCTAGAAGGTAAACTGGATAATTGTTGCCATGGCGGCGCTCCAAAGCAGCGGTCAAGAAGACGACAATGACCTGGACTACAGAGAGGACGTGGAGCAGCTGGTGCAATGGTGCAAAGATAACAGCCTGATCCTGAACGTGGAGAAGACGAAGGAGATCATCTTGGACTTCAGGAAGATCCAGCCTAACCACGCTCCACTGATCATCAACAGCTCAGCTGTAGAGGTGGTCAACAGCACCAAATTCCTGGGGGTGCAAATCACAGACACCCTCACCTGAAATGTAAACACCACCTTACTGGTCAAAAGGGCATAGAAGCGCATGTACTTCTTGTGGAGGATGAGGAGAGCCCCCCTGCCCCCACCCATCCTCACCACCTTCCACAGAGCACCATAGAGAGCGTTCTGACCAGCTGTCTCACTTTGTGCTGTGGAGGCTGCAGTGCCTCAGACTGGA